TGGTAACACCTTGTAACTGTAACTGTGTAAGCACCTGTAAATGTAACTGTAACTGTGTAACACCTGTAAATGTAACTGTAAGAAGCACGTACGTGTGCCTGGCGACCCGGTCCCCGTTGCGGACGCCTCTACGGCCGACCTGCTCCTCTCTCTGCCCCGCGATGCAGCTCCCCTCCTCCGGCTCCGCATTATCTCCGACGGTCGCTTCCACTTCGGTGATTGGCCGGCGAGGGGCGTGCTCGCCATGTTGTTTTCGGTCGACGTCCGCGCTCTGGGAAACTATACGTCGCAGGGTTTTCTCGCGCCGGTCGCCGCAAACAGGCCAAGTTCTGGAATTCCTGGAAATGGAATTAAAACCTTTCTAGAATTCCCAGGAGAATTGTTTATCATTAAGGGAGGAGGGTTATATCTCACAGTCGCCCAAAACAGGCTTTCTATAATTATCGGAGAAGAACCGTTCATCGTCAAGGATTGTCAGAGGAGTGTTATATCTCGGCTTATAGTTTAGTAGTACCACTGATAATTTATTTTGTGAAGATATAAACGGGCGTTCTGGAATTTCCAGAGGGTTCTCGCTGAAAATCGCTCGACGCCGACCGCTTGCAATTCTCTTCAAGGAATTGGATTTGCCTTCATGGAACGAAGAACCGTTCAATGTTCATCATGAAGGGAGCGTTATATCTCGGTTATCGAGTTTGGTACGCCGATAACTTATTTTGCGAAGATATAACCTCGTAAATTTTAAATCAGGATTAGTCTTCATAGTCTATGGGACTATATCGAAGACTGAGAGAGACGGGAGTTGATGAAATCGACAGATCATCGCTGTGCCAGTCGAACATAGCAGTAGCCAGTACTAGAAAAATATTAACCAGCGTTTGTGAATTTTGCGCAAGTTTGATTTCATGCGGGTTAGAGGAATTTTAGGCAATAAATATTAGGTGATAGAGAGTACATAAGCGCGGCCTATGGCGGAGCGAAGTTCTAGAGCTAGAAACAGCCTAGATTATTTGAAGTCAGTAGACCTTCACTTAGCTCTAGTACTATAGCCCGCGTACAGTGACTGCCACAGGCACTGTACAGTGTACGCGAGCTATAGTAGTAGTACTAGAGCTAACGGCCCAAGGATAGAGAACATGGGTCCCAATAAAACCAATGTGCCTAACCCTAACCCTAATTCTAACCCTAACCCTAACAATAACCCTAAGTTCCTAACCATAACCCTAACCTATTATATTGATATAATATATTTATATTGATGTAAATGACATTGGTTTTATTGCCTATTGGAACCCATGTTCTCTATCTTTGAACCGAGCTAACCTTCACTTAGCTCTAGTACTATAGCCCGCTTACATTAACTGCCGCTGGCAGTTAATGTAAGCGGGCTATAGTACTAGAGGCTAGAGCTAACCTTCACTAACCAGTAACCCGCTATGATCATGGATGCACTGACACTCAGTCAACAGAGATTAACCCCTTTTTAATACGATAAAGATAACAGATCTATTAATGGTTTAATGATCTAATAATGAACCAAACAGGAATCCTAACGGGTATAACAAGTAAAAAACAATAAAGATGAAAATTTACAGGATTGAACGACCGCCACCATCATAAACAATCTGGCTTTCGCAGCGCCCTCTCTCGGTAACGTCGGCAATCAATATTTTTACCCAATAGAGGACGACCGTGCATCCGTGACGTAATAGGCTCAGCAGACGACAACGAACATGTTTTTGTCACTACTAATTACTACTAATAAGTTTAATTATATCTGCCTAAAAGTAACTGATCTTACTTGGAGCGAGGTGAGTTTTTAATGATATTAGTATGTATGTTACGATAAAAGTTAAAACGGTTGCAAAAATGCATGAAATATCACGATAAATATAATATAAAATATACTCAGTATGAGAATACATGAAATTTACGCGATAACGCTGCATTCCATTGCCCGCATTGTGAGCGCATAACTTCTTGCAGCACATTTCATTTTTTGTTTTTGTGCCTTTCATCATAGACATAGAATACATATATGTATTCTGTCTGTATACTGTCTGTATTCTATATCTATGCTTTTATTTCCCGTTGTTTATTTATTCCTTAGTTTACCACTTTCCTTGAATTTTTAATTCTATTCCCAAGACTGTATCATGACTGCATGACATGGCAAGGTGTTGGTGGTTCAAGGATAGAGATCATGTCCAGGACGGTGATAGGATAGGATGATGTTCATTACTGGACATGCTCTCTATCCTTCAGCCGACAGCGCAATATTTAATTTTTAGTAGTTAGTAGTTTACATTGACAGCTAGTGTCAGTGTCAGTACTCAGTGAGAGCACTAGTTAGTAGTAGTATAGTTGTTCAGTTAGTAAGCAAACAAAACACATTTCCTTTAGATTGTATTTGTAATATATTTTAATTACTCTAACAGTACTTACAATATAATCATATATATTATATATTCATGTGTACATAATCTATGAATTAATTAACAGTAGCTTCAACCCTTGATAGTACAGAGCAATGATCTTTAAAGTACCAGATACAGAGTCGAATCATAATATATTTCTAATTCCATGAAATCAATTACTTTACAGTTACATGCATATCGTTATAACTATTAGCTTGACTGCAGGCCAGCTTTTGAGTAGAAATTCTTTTTTTTAACTTATGTGGTTTTACGGATTTTAGGATTCCACTCGATAAAGAAAATCCATACACATCCCGACCCATAAATAGTAGAAAATAATTTATAAAAGTCGATATCGATATCGAGAGTTGATCGAACGTCGCACTCTATATAACACCTGCCGCTAAAGCTACACCTACCTACGCATAGCCGTTCCCCGCACGTTTTGTTATCGGTTCAAAAGGTGGTGAGACACGAGTGTTGTAGCACACAATAGAGAGAGAGAGAGAGAGAGCGCGCAAGCACAAGAGAGAGCATGATAGAGAGTGAGCAGAAAATATGTTATAGAGTTCTGCAGTCGACTCGTGAACGATTAACAAGATCTCAGTGGGCAGCAAATTTTCGATCACCGTCCCATCAACCAAAATAAGTGAATTTCGTTCATGTCAAAAATGAATATTTGAATTCTCACACGCGAATACTTTGCGCTCTCGTTCTCTTAATGGGATCGATGCAGTAAGTCTTAAAAAGTCTATAAGTAAGTAAGTATCCTACTACATATTCTCGTGTCGACTGCTCGCTCTATCTGGTGGCAAAGAATCACAACTGCACTAGCGGTACCTTCGCGCCCGTTGCCATGGATACGATGTAGGGGCAAAACACTAGCCGATCGCTTATTGCTCTTAATTATTGCTATGGCGTATTGCTGCAAACACAAGGCAGTGCAGGCACCATGTGCTGACGACCTGTCACTGTGGAATAAGTAATTATTCCATTACTTATTCCGTGGAATACGTAATATGAATAAGTAGTTATAACATTTAGTGCAATTCTAATTTTAACACGGAGAGTTTCACAAGAATAGAAAACTCAAAAGGGGAAGTTGTATCTCTTGCAATCTAATTCACCTGTCTATTAGCTTCCCAATTGGAGAAATTTTCTCTTCACCAAATTTAATTTTCTAGAGGAATTTGTTCCGACTTTTTGCATGCACGCATCGAAAAACTGGTCGAAAGACAAAAAATTCGGTAGGCATTCAAGATGCGTTCTGATCAAGTGCTGAAAAGATGGACGCAAACTATACTGTGCTAGTAGAACATCATGTAACATACGTCTACACATCAGATACGCTATGCCTCAAATACTGAATGCCTCGGATAGTATACGCCTCAGCTGTTCTACGTCTTGGATACGTCATGTCTCGCTATCTTTTGATTCGTGCCTCGTGTTTTCTGTTGACGCGTGGTTTTGCCCCGCGGCACCCCGCATGTAGATGGCGCTCCAAATGTCTCTTGCAGTTGCACGAACGCGACGCGACGCGTTTCCACGGTTACGCGCTCGCTTCTCCGGTAGAAAATATGTACAGATCGTATGTACAGACTGCAGCGTGAAACTGGAAGTTCATGAGAAGCTGTAACCATCGTAAAACACGGGTGCACGCGCGCGCGGGGGCAAAACACGAAACGGCTACAAACGTCGAGAAAATAACAATTAACTACGTACATGTACATGCCGCTGTCGCTGCTAGGTGGCAGCATGTGCCATCGCGACCGCTCGGGACACTACTACGATTAATGGCGTCGCGACGATCGATAACGTCACCGCGACATCTCGGTCGAAACCGGCCGTCGCCGTGGCGACCGCGTCGGTACGTCTACTTAGCTACAGACGACGTTGTTAGCGCTAGCTACGGTTCGTTAATCGTGGTCCGTGGATGCCGGTCCGTCATCGTCGTCGTCGTCGTTATCGCGGCGGCGGTTTGCGTCGTGTAAGAGCGATGTCGTTGCTCAGGCGAAGGCTAACTTAGAGGGCAGCACCCCTGCAGCGCTGAGTGCGAACAGAGCGCCACCTAGGAAGGTAGCAGCAGATGGAAGCCTGAAACAGGAAGATTAACTTATAGTAATTGCAGGAGAGAGAGGGCGAGAGTGGGGGAGGGCAAAGAGACATTGAGAGAGAGAGAGAGAGAGAGAGAAAGAGAGAGAGAGGTGAGAGAGAGAGAGAGAGAGGTGAGAGAGAGAAGAGAGAGCGAGAGAGAGTGAGAGCGAGCGAGAGAGAGAGAGAGAGAGGAGAAAGAGAGAGAGAGAGAGAGAGAGAGAGAGAGAGAGAGAGAGAGAGAGATAGAGAGTGAGAGAGAGAGAGAGAATTCGGCAATAGATAGAGAGGGTGAGAGAGAGAAGAGAGCGAGAGGAGAGAGAGAGAGAGAGAGAGGTAAAGGGAGCGAAAAGAGAGAGAAGGGGTGGAGCTAGGTGAGAGACAAGTATAGAGAGACGGAGAGAAAGAGTAAGAGAGAAATGGGACGGAGAGAAAGAGTGAGAGAAATGGGAAGGATACAGAGAGATAAGGAGAAAGAAAGCACGAGGAAGGTAGCAGGGTGGGTCGAGTCTCTACACAAGCACTCCACTTGTAAGAGCACGATACAGACTCACTATACACGAACAGCTCTCTCTCCCTCTCTCTCTAGTTCTCCCCCTCTCTCTCTTTCTCTAGCTCTTCCCCTTTCTCTA